TTATTTAGAAAATTTGAATATCTTTTTGTTTTCGCGCCAAAGGCGCTCTTGTCACTTTCATGTATTTCCCACTGGGAAATATCTTAAATGCTATTGGTCCGTCGCGTCTTTTAGTATGCGATTTGATAACTTTCCCCAACGATGGTTTTGCACTGTATATATACATTTTGAATTGTGTTTGTTGTTATCGCTCGTTTCTGGCTGTTTGCAGAATATACTTCCCATTCCAAGCTTAGACTTCTCCCTTTAGTTAGAGGGGCTGGGACGCAGCAATAGCTAGCTTACTGGTCTTTGGTCACCGAGTCTCGTTTTTCCTTCGCAGACTAAGTGAACTCGTGGTAGCTTCAAACCTAGCACATTATCAACTTCATATTTTTACATAATCACAACAGTGATGAGTGAAAATTATAAAAATTAAAAATTAAACACAAGTTGTAAATTCATTTATTTCTATCTTTAACAAAACTGGATTGATTTGAATAACTAAATGTTAATTAAAGATAAAAGATTTCTTAGTTATTAAATACCTCCTTAATCTAGTAAACTAATAATGAAAATTGAATTATGCTAATAAATATTTATAAAAAAAAATTAGAGTAAAAAATAATCCAAATTAGATTTTTTTTACTGTAAATGATAAATTTAATTGGCTGATTTAAATTGGAATTGATGTGAGTTAAAATAATTTTTGTTAAAATAAGTTTGATTTGTAAACATGTAAATTTTGGAATACACTTGGTAATAAGGTGTATGTTATTAATAAATATAGAAGGGGTTTTGTGAAGATTGTAGTAATTTTAAACAGTTGAGAATATGAGTCAATTGAAGCTAGACCATCATGGAAAACCTGGAAGCACTGGACGGCCGTTTCGTCCTAGTATGGGATTACTCAGCAGTGCGCATCCACGACCCCACCTCGCGGGATTCAAACCCAGGACCTATCGGTCTCGCGCCAGGTGGTTGAACTCCACTGGTTACTGCTTCTCATTAGAACTCCGAGATATATATCTTGAAGCCAGTCACTAGCTTCAATTGACTCATGATCTCAACTGTTTAAAATAATTATAGACTTGGGATACATACATACATTTACTATTCTGTGCTAGGATATTAATAAAGCTTTTATTTTGAAAAAAATGTTATATATAGTAAGAACACTATACTTTAATTTCAAACAATAAAATACTTCTAGATTATTATGAATGTAACTGAATTTATATTTCGTTTTATTGTGATGATAAATGAATTATTTGGAGACATTTTCTATTAATATTAATTTATTTTTTAAAAATCAGAATGAGGGTTTGTGGAGATTGTAATAATCATCATGTGTGATTGGCTTCAAGGTGAATTTCTTAAAGTTTTAATGGGAAGCCGTGACTAGTGAAGTTAAACGGTATCCGTTGTGAGACAGTTACTCACTGAATACAATGGTGGACGGTGGCGCAATATCGTGGATTGGTTGACGTTAGACATTAACACTGTTAAGTCTAGAGGTTAAGTGTTTACGCGTGGAATCGTGGATTCTCACTTCTGACGAGTCTCATATTAAGATGAAATGGCCATCTAGTGCTCCCAATTTTTTCCATGGCTGTCTAGCTTAAATTGTCTCATGAAATAAACTATTAAATATCAATCTGATCCAAACGATCGTAGTTCTTTTGAAGAACTTATATATAAAGGATTTTTTACTATATTATGGATAGAAGTTATGACATTTGAAAGAATAAAATGAAAAATATTTAATTTCTCCGCATAAACTGAGAAAAATTTGAGAAGCATTGCATCAATAGTTATTTTTATTCATATTCTTAATATTATCGACTGAAATCACTATCAAAATCCATATGTACTATGTTTAGGTATGTACGTTTACTGAATATGGGCAATTAAGTGCGCCTTCCTTCATTTGCAAGTCTCTAAGAAAATTGATTTACTATTTCATTAATATTTACAACTATTTAACTTCCAAATCATTCTACCATTCAGCATATCTTAATGCATATGCCAACTAACAATACATATAACATGATTACTGAAAATTATTTCGTTTTGGTTACTACGAATTGACACCTTACGTTTCTTAATTATTTCTCTAATAATCAACTATTTTGTATCTATGTTGACTTTATGAATTTTCTTTTATTCCGTATTGTTGTCTACGTTGTATTTTCCTTGGTTTGTAGTATTGTTGTAATAACAGTTGATATCAATAGTCAATATCGTACAGAATTCATATGATGCATTAAACTGCAAAATCCTGCATGGAAGACAGCTCACAAACTCGTTCAAAGTAAAGACCAGTGTCAAGCAAAGTTACTTACTCTCACTCTTTCTCTTTCTCCTGGTGATCGACTGGATCATGAAGACATAAACATCTGAGGGAGGCATGGGATACAGTGGACAGCTAAGATGCAGCTGGACGATCTAGACTTCGCAGATGATCTGGCTCTTCTATCGCACATGCAACAACAAATGCAGGAGAAGACAACCAGTGTAGCGGAAGCCTCAGCAGCAGTAAGTCTCAACATACACAACATGCACCAATCGAATCACACTTGACAGAGAAACTTTCGAAAATGTAAGAACCTTTACATATCTTGGCAGCATCATTGATGAGCACGGTGGATCTGATGCAGATGTGAAGGCGCGGATCAGCAAAGAAAGAGCAGCATATTTAAAATTGAAGAATATCTAGAACCCAAAACAATTGTCAACCAGCACCAAGGTCAGAGTTTTCATTACAAACGTCAAGATAGTCCTACTGTATGGAGGAGAAACTTGGAGAATTACGAAAACCATCATCTAGAAGATACAAGTGTATATCAAAAGTTGTCTACGCAAAATACTTCGGATTCGTTGGCCAAACACCATCAGTAACAACCTACTGTGAGAGAGAAAAAAAAACAGGTCCCAGTGGAGGAAGAATTCAGTAGGAAGGAGGATAGTGGATGAAGTGGATAGGTCACATATTGAAAAAAGCATCCAACTGCCTCACAAGACAAGTCCTCATTTGGAATCCTCAGGGCCGAAGAAGAAGAGGAAGACCAAAGAACACATTACACCGATAAATAGAGACAGACAAGAGAAAAATAAGCAACAATTCGATAGAATTGGAAATGAAGGACCAGGACAGAGTGGGTTGGAGAATGCTGGTCGGCGGCCTATGCTCCAATGGGAGTAACAAGCGTAAGTAAGTAAAGTAAGTAACAGTTGAAATCCGTATTTCAACATTTGGGAGTTGCAATGATTGTATAGCTTTTAGATTTTTCATTATGTATTAGTGTTAACAGTTGCTTTTCTTTTCAACTCCTATCGACAGCAAACTGCAATAGTTGAAAACTAGTTTGATGTTCAAAAAATAAACATAATAACGTACACAAAAAGAAATTGCTCTGTGAGATGCGATGTTAACGTTGTATCAAATTATTTGTTTACATCAAAGACTGGCTATGTGCATTGTTGCTGTGAATATTAAATATTCACTTTTAAAGCACATCTGCTCTTTTGTGATGTAGTGTTTGTTAAACTAGATAGTTTAATTATGATTAAATCATTTAGTCAAGAAGGAACGATATTAACTAAAGCATCCTTTTCAGCTGGAAACTTTATGTAACATTTGACAAATTTCTTAAAACATTCAAAAAATTAGATAGAAGGTACTAGGATTAAACATTATGAAAGAAAACATGCTGATCAACGAAGCACTTAAAATTACCAAAACAATCTAAACAAAAAATGTGAGTAACCTCCATATATTTCAACCATTCGGAAAACTTTACACATAATACAGTTATAACACAATATAAAAGTAATTTTAATGCATAAAAAGCTTTCAAAAAAGCCCCATATAAAATATGATTTGATAAAACAAAACATTTATTGACAGATACAATTTCGATTTATTGTTAAACTAAAATCTCTTCTTAAAATCTTTATTACGTCACTCATCATATTTGATCTTATTTTCAAGGGAATAAAATGGATTTATATTCTCTGCAGTCATTAGAAATCTTCAAAAGAAAAACACGAATTAAATTTACTAATTTCAATAGTTGAGATCCTGAGTCATTTGAAGCTAGACCACCATGGAAAACCTAGAAGCACTGGACGGCCGTTTCGTCCTACCATGTTACTCTTCTGCAGTGCACATCCATGATCTCGCCACGCGAGATTCGAACCCAGGACCTATCAGTCGCGTAGTCTAGCTTTAACTGACTCATGATCTCAACCACTGAAATTACTATAATATCCACAAAACTCCTGATATTAAATTTATTACACAAGAAAGTCCTTTCATCATTAGTTTAATTGTTTTTGTTTTTTTAACATTTTTTTTCTCATAAAATACCGAAAAGAAGTTATAACTGGAATAATTTAGAAAGAGAAATTTTATTATGGTGTTGTTTAAACTATTCAAGAGGTTTTTCTTGATTTTTATTTAATATTTACTAATTGATTTATTGAAAATGTATATCATAAATATTGTCCGAAGGTTGAGTCGATTTAAACTACACCACCATGGAAAACCTGGAAGCATTGGATGGCAGTTTCGTTCTACTGTGAGACTCCTTAGCAGTGTGCATCCACGATTCCAATGTCCAGGATTCGAATCACGAATCTATCGGACCTATCATAAATATATTATTAAAACCGATCAATTTTTTTATTAGACACATTCAACAGTGCAAGTAACATTTTCTAATGATTAAATCTAACTAAAATTTAAATGACAATAACATATAGTTAGTAAATATTAAAGTATACGATCTATTCTCAATCGAATAAATCTATCCTTTATTAAAATTCATTTTATTGGTAGATTAAATGATTATTTTTTAACCAATGAAATTGTGCTACTTTTATAATGCAGATTACAGAATTCCTAATATACATTTTTTCTTTAGTCAATGAAATTAAATCTAATGTTATTAATTCAATGAATAAATTACAATTATCTTCATTTATTTATTCATTAATTACATAACAACAATACCGTTATGTTGAATGATCAACTAAATATATTTTTAAATGTTACTGAGTCTAAGGATTTCAATTTAAGTCTTAAAGACTATAATAATACAGAGGATTTGAAAAATAAAAAGGATGTTATTATAGATGAACATGTGAGTTATTTCATAATTATAAATTTAAAAAAAAATAATAATTTTCATATTTTCTGATCTCATTTGACCATGTCAACATGGTACTTTTTGATAGTTCATTTCTCTAATTTTTTTTCCGGCTATTTTTATTAGTTAATTTGATCGATAAATATATCTGGAGAAGTAGATCATACTATAGACAACAATCAATACTGTCTCCGATGTAAATGACCTACCTCCCAAATGTTCTTTTTAAAATCGACCAATTCGTTTTGTTGCAAAACACACAAAAGACTAGTTCTCAAATAAAAGATGAGTAGTTAAATTAAACATTTAACCATTCTGTTTAAAGGTAAAGTTGTCTGCTTTTGAAAAGAATTGTTCAGACTTCTTTACAAGAATAATAAATAAAATGAATGAATTAAAGATAGTAATCACAATGGGATTGTAAATATGAAATAAACTGGAACCTCACAAAGGGGCACGAGGATCAGGTGAATTTCGACTACTACTTTAATGAGTACAAAAACTGAAAAAATGTTAATTAAGGATCTATGTTATCAGTACAGTACTTTAATATCTAAAAAGAAGACAGTACTAGGTGTGAACATTTTAGTGACTGAAATGAAATATTTGTTAAGTTCTCCTTGGTATTTGATCGTAGAAAATTATTCAAATTGGATATTAATTATAAAAATACTCCATGGTAAAGTCAGGACAATAATTAAAATATCGTTATTGTTAATATCCATATTACCAGCGGAACAAATTGAAGTTGCGGCCAAAACGTTTTATTTATAAACTATTTCTCAAGGGCAAAACCAATCATAAACGTGATAAATTTTTGTCTATACATACAGAAGTTAGGCTGATTAACTTTCTTGGCATAAAATCGAATCTTTACGAAGTATTTTGGTTCCTTCAAAGTAGATTTTATTTCTCGATTGTGCTGATTTAGGTCTAAGGACATTTTTGATAAATTTTATGACGCAATCATCATAGTACAAAGTCAACATTAGTTTTATGATCAGCTAATTAATGTTGTATAAAACAATTTGCTTTAACATAAAACCCAAATATAGTATATTCACAACTTTGATCACAAGAATTTTTAACACAACTACATTTCACTTTATTGATAAGGCCTTTCTTCTAATTAGTAGACAGTGAATGTTATTGAAGCGTCATTACTGATTATATACAAATGATAAATTATGATTAGTTTTGAATTTACATGATAGTCTCAAATTATATTAAGTTTACCTCACTATACTCAAAACTTTTATTAAGATCAAAATATAATTTGATTCAAAATATTGATTCGTAACAATAGACGATGTGATTTTTATTCTCGATTCCATAACATTGTCAAGCAGAGACAAATAGATCCACAATATCAAGTTGTTCAACAAGTGACCGATTTTTTTACTCAAGCTTTGAATATATATATATATATATATATATATATATATATATATATATATATATATATATATATATATATATATATATATATATATATATATTTCACATGCCTTTGGAACGATTATTTCAAACGATTTTAAGAATATCTATGAGACAACTGTTTTTGATGAATGAACAACTTAAATTGTTTATTAACTTAAAACAAGATGTAAACTTTCGTTTTTTCTCCTTGTAAATATAAATAATGCCCTATAAATGACCAAAATGATTTTTAATTTTAATTTTACATTACTTTGACAACCAACACAATTTCTCAATTGTAAACTATAGATGTCAAAAAAGAAATTCCATTTAGACTCTTTTATTAAAAATTTTGTTATCAAATGTTCTTCTTGTGAGAAATTTTACTATAGAGCTCATATTGGGAATAGGCCATCAATTAATTCAAATTCCATAAACAAAATCTAAGACTTAAACACTGTTGAACTGGATGTGTAGTTTTTTAAAAAATGTTTCCACTGTTATAGCTTAGAACTCAATATACGTTTATGTCAAATTTCACTTGAGTATTGTTCATAAATAAATTACCATGATTATTTCAATCATTCATCCAGTTTAATGTGAAAAACGTTTTACAATTAAGATTATTTATTATTTTATGCGTCATTTAGAATGCCTTTATATGTTTAAATTATAACTGACTCTCTTCCTTCAAATGTTTAGCCACAAAGATAAGTTAAATGAAAAAGTGAATTACAAAAATAACGTGTCTAATCAGATTGTTTTCCTATTGCCTATCAGCTAAATCTTTTTTAAAAAATATAATTGTCACCTCAATAAAGTAATGAGAATGTGAATGTTACATTTTAGTTTTATTTCATTACCATAGTCACCTAGTAATGCACATGTATCAGTTAGAAAGGAAAATTTTAACTTATTTACATTGATTTATAGAACAAAAACTATGTAGGTATTTTAATAAAGTTTTATTCAGATAAGATAAATTCGTTTAAAAGTTTACTATACAAGACATGTATTAAAATTAGGTCACTATGATGCTGATTTTCAACAGCAACAAAAAAACAACAGAACATACTATCAATTCCTAATTTGCATTTATATTACAAAGATGGATTTTATTGATATATTTTATTAAAACCTACGAAACATTTAAATACTGAGGTTATCAAGAATATCTTGATCATCAAATACATTAAAGAACGGTTACAAATAATGAAATAGAGTTTTCAGAATTTAATATTACTTGGAATTTCTCCTGATATATGTTTTTTTACTCTATATTCGGCAAAATTTAACGCATCTAAAATGTTAGTTATCTGAACTTATGAATTAAAAAGTATAATTTCAATGGTTAAGATCGTGAGTCAGTTGAAGCTAGACCACCACGGAAAACCCGGAAGCACTGGGCGGCCGTTTCGTCTTTTTGTGGGACTCCTCAGCAGGACTAAACGGCCATCCTGAGCTTCCAGGCTTTCCATGGTGGTCTAGCTTCAACTGACTCATGATCTTAACCATTGCAATTACTACAATCTCCACAGAATCCATCTGATATTAATCAACATATGCTCACTAGTGACTGGCTTCATGAGGTATATCCTAGAGTTATAGTGACAAGTAGTGACCAGTGGAGTTCGACCGAGTCCATTGTGAGATAGTAACTCACTGAAGACAATGGTGGATGTGTCGCTCAATTTCGTGGATTAGTTGGAGTTAGACATTAACACCGTTGGATGCCGACTCAGTGGTCTAGTGGTTAAGTGCTCGCGCGCGAAATTAGTAGGTCCTGTGTTCGAATCTCGCATGGGGCGAGGTCGTGGATGCGCACTGCTGAGGAGTTCCACAATAGGAAGAAACGGCCGTACAGTGCTTCCAGGCTTTCCATGGTGGTTTAGTTTCAATTGACTTATGATCTTAATTATTGAAATTACTACAATCTCCACAAAACCCGTCTGATATTAAAAAGTATAAGATTGACAAATTCATTATGAAAGTGAACAATTTGTTAATCACACTCGTAGAGCTTTACATTTTCTTTTTTAGAATAGGATGAATATCATTTTTAGAAAATATTATCGACAGGTGACGCTAATATTATATCATCATCTATATAAATACTTTTCTGATTGATCAGCATAAAAAGGTTTAGATCAGTATAAAAACGTTTCGTTCTTAAATAATACTAGGAAACATACTAGATTTTGTTTTTAGATCTTCAGTCTAAAGAATAATGTTACATAGGAAAACACAGTCATTTTATATCTGGAAGATGTTCCTAATTTCGTTAATTACTAGTATTGATTACATTTGAATATTATTTTCGTAGAAACTAGACAAAATTCTCGTAATTATATCTTTAATACTAGAAGAGGAATAGAAATCTATCTATAATAAGATTTATGTAAAGCAAATATAATCTTATCGGACTTATTGGACTATAATAATGTTCTTAAATTGTTGTGATGAATCTATCATGGATTTTTCTTTTGTGTATTTTTTTTAAAATTTTGAAGTAGCTTGTCCTTATAAACGATAATTTATATGATTCTTATTTAGCAAAACGTAACAAATAAGAACTGATCTTATAACATATTTAGATCGTTATTTTTTATGAATTTTCATTTTCATTTCAGAGAATAGTGACATGTTAGTGAAATTGGTTTTTAAAAGTGATCATTCAGAACATAATTTTGCTAGTAGAGGTATTTCATGTCTTTAACTTACATATCATATATATTCTATAGATTACCTATCATGGTATATTTGAATTTGAAAATTTGTGTAGACATGTTGTTTCGTATGTAATGTCAATAAGATAGATCCATAGTTTTATTAAGATATTTATTCGTTGTATTTCCTAATTGTATATTTAGATCAGATATATGACAACATAATATGTATCTTGAAATGTGACTTTATTCATTATGCCTGAATGATTTTAACAGAATAAAATAGTATGTTATTCACCTGAGTTGATGTATACAATTGTATTCGTTTAAAGGATCGATATACAGCTCTTTTAAGTTCATTTATCATATATCAGTTGTATAACATTTTATTGGGACTTCACGTAATAAATGGGATAATATTACATTCTTAATCATCGGATCTTAAAGAAAATGTTCTATAAGAGAATAACAAATTTTGTGCTTAACAATAAGCTTGAAATTCATAACTAAAACGTCGTAGATAGAAGTAAACGAAATTTTCATTTTCTTCTTGGTTTAGAGCAATCCTCAAACGTACTCAGAGATGATGTAATTGATTGTCAGATAATAAGTATTCAGTTCGGAAGACTATGAACTATTCCAAAAGATTTTTTATATTGTCTCAAAGTATTTGCTTTCAAGTCTTTTTTCTATAATGTTGTAATAGGAATTTGTCAAAGTTCAGCACGCCTCAACAGTTTCAACTTATGTTTTCATACTACTAACTAGAATTAGATATGTAATTTGTTAAACGTTCATCTAAGCATACTGTTGAAGATTCATGTAACAATACGTTACATGAACCAACTACATATTTTATTTTGTTCCACTCACTCGTGTATCGTTTAATATATATCAAATGACTAATCAAACGTATTTGAAATAAAACTACTTTAGTACTGGTGAATGTTGTGAATTAAAAATTTGAAACGAGGTTTGGAAAAAGTTAATTCAGACTAAACACATTCTTCCATTTAGATTCAATTCAGCCATTATTTTGCTTTTATTATCTAGAATTTGGACTAAATGCATAACATTTAAAAATGAGTTGCCGCTATGTAAAGGAAAACGTCTTGTAGAGATGTTATCAGTTGTCTGTAGTTTTGTGTAACAACAAAGTTATCAGTTCTTTATCTACAATGTTGAATGTTTATTATGTAAGATTATTGTTCATTTCAACAAAGCACACCACAAATCAGATGTTCTTCAGTAGTAAATTGTAATAAATCATTGAGTTACTATATAATCAAACATGTAACTTTTTTAGGTTATTATTTTTCGTAGAAAGTATAATATCTATTCAAACGTTCTTAACGACGACAATTATCTTCAGTTCATAACATCGACAAAGAAATCTAGATAATGGATCTGTGCATATGAATAAATTATTTTAAAATTAAGACAGTGAAATCAACGTGTACTAAGCAATGTAAACGTACAAGGTAATCTATTAACAATAAGATACAAATCTTTCTTGTCATCATAGTTTTACCATATGGTAGATGTTATCAGATATTATCATACAATATGTTCCAACTTTGTATCAACCTGATTATGCTTGTAAATTGATTTTCATTCTGTAGTTATATCTAAAACCTGTATTATCATTATTATTTATATTAGAAAATACTAGTGAGATAAATATCATTCATTTTAATCTAATTATATTGAAATATTATTAAATAAAACAATATAACTCACTTCATAATTTAAATTTATTGCGTTCATTTTTCAATCTACCTTCAAGTACGTTGTTCGATTTTATGATTATAATGAAATTGAAAATCTTGATATAAAACAGTTACATGCAGAACATATACTCTTCAATAAATTATAATCGTAAAATATTAGGTTGAAAGTCTCACCTTCAATCTATTTAAATGTTTTAAAAGTGGTGTATTAACACAATGGCCATTTATAACCAAAAAATCTAGAACGTACAAACATTCTTAAGAATTCATTAAAAAGTGGAAAAGTTTCAGTACAGCAAAGTTATCTCAGTCTATATTATGATTGTAAGTGATTTGCCCAGATATTTTATGATCTGTCAGTCAAATCTACAATTAAACATTCGTACTGGTGATCTGCATCAAATGATAGATACCCATCATGCACTCACTATCAGTCACCGTTCAAACTAGTTAGTGACTTGCCAACATATCTAAACATCAGTATATATATATGTTTCCGGCATAACTTTCATTTTCTACTGGTTTTGTTATACTTCATGTAGCGATACATAAAAGCCACTGCTCAATTAGTTATCACAATGATAAATTTACTGATTGTAGCTAAATCATAGATGGATGAATAATTCTATTTTAAGTTGGTCATAACTGTAGAAACTAACCGAAACAAAATGTTCGAACCCTGATGAATGTTAAGAAAATTCAATCTAATCATCACATAATATTCATTTCATTTGTTTAGTGAAAATGTAAACTTAGTTATGAAAGATTGGTAAACTTGATTATATAGTTAACGTGTGGGAAATGTATTGATCGTAACAAATAAATTACAAGTTTTAGCAAACATAAATATTTTAATTGGACATCTTTTATAATTTAGTTACTAAACACCACTAATAATGTAGCCAAGTACTACTTCAGTTATGTTTAAAATTCACTATGTAAAAACTGTGTTGCTAACGGTTTATTATGATAACCTTTTAGCTTTTGTTGTGCTGAAAATAGGAATATAAATTCACCTCTTATCTTACAATTTGAGATGGTGGAGCTCAGAGAACAAAACTCCACCAATATCTTACAGTTCAAATAACTCATCAAACTGTTAAAATATTTGTGTAAACATTAATAAAAATGGGAAGCATTAACTTCACAATTGATTGATCACTGGGTGGTAATCAGTCACTTGTGAATATATCTCAGCCTGGATAGCCAAGTGGTAACATATCTGACTGTGAAGCTGGGTGATACGGGATCGAATCAATCAAAGAGCGCCAGTTCCTTCAAAGTTACTGGTACATCTTGCTGACGAGTGCCAAATAGCACGAAACTCAGGTCCAGGGTTTTCTGCTGACTACCTCCAAGCACCATCTGAAGTATTAACTTATTTGGCTAGTATTTACTGGTGTAACTTGATATAAAAACTTATTTGTAGGTCAAAACTCATTGTGTTCAATTTGTTCTATTTGAACACATAAAATTTTCAAAGCATAATTTATATTATCTACTCCTCTTTATGAAGTTGAATATAAATGGACCTTCAATTTTCAAGAGTCGAATACACTTGTCAATAATTATAACGTTGGAGACAGCATTTATCTACTTTTTATTGAAATTTATCCAATTGCGTATCATAATAACAGCGATAAATTTATTGATCGATTCCTTGTTGAGGTCGGATTTTGAAAATTTTAGAGAACAAAAATAGGTTGAGTATATATTGTAAATTTGTACACACATTTTAAAGTTATGGAGTAGTTTCAGTAAGCGGAAAATGTTCATTTATTAGGGATTGTTTTCGGTTGACAATGTTGAGAATAATGTTAATGATACACCAATATTCGTTATATAGACAGTACAAATGAGTTTTTTTCTAAATCTTTTTGGCATATCATGAAGTTGAGGTTTGCAAACGGACTTACTTCATTTCCAAAGTCTTCTAGCTTGACCATTCTATCTAACATATATATATATATATATAATGTTAAAACCGCGAATGGAAAACAAATAAACTGGGTACGGAAATGTCATGTACATGCCTGTATTTTAAAATTGATCTGTTATGATAAAATGAATACATCAGTATAAGACTGTGACACAGTATTTATAAACATATTTGTAAACCTTACATGTAAAGTTTTTCACACAGATTGTTTCATTGTCGTAAGAAATTATCATTACAGAGTTAACCTACTAAGTAAATTTCAGAAACTTATATAAAGTTAATTCGACTACCAAGTCCTTATGTTAAGGACTGTAGTTTATTAGTCGTCTTTGAAGTTTGAAACCTATGCACGTTGCTAAGATAATGCCATTCATTCTCAAGTTTTTAATTAAGGTTGGTTATTGGACATCAATGGAACCAAGGACGTACATTTTGACCACAACGGAACATCATTCAACTCTAATGAAAAATAAAATTAACTATTTATTGTATATCACATTTGAATTTTCTAATTTTGGATGATTTGTAATAAACCATGACTGTTCATGTTGCAGATATATTATCTAATCAATTACCAGATAAGTTTTTTCTTGTACAGAACAACTTGCCTATATATATGAACATTTAAATACTTACAAAAGGTATATAAATATTGTACTGAATAATTATTTCCTGTTCTGCCTAATCTTATCTGACAAAAGATCTCATTCATTATATCTAAAAGTATAGGGTAATTATTAATTATCTTTTATAAACGACATTTGTGACAACAGTTATCAGGTTATTATACCTATTATGATTATAGTCAAGGAAACAATTATTTTGCATCATGACAATAGCATACCATTTTTAATTATGACTTTTTCTTATAATTAACAGGATTAACTTTTTTTCTTTGTTTATAGCTACAATCTATTGGACTAATCATTTTATTGGTTTTATTCTTTACAATTGTTATTGGTAATTTGACTGTACTTGGTGTGATTTTTTCAAGAAAAATCAAAACACAAATGAAAATATTCATTATTAATTTAGCTATTACAGGTAAACATTTTAGTAAATATTCAGCTAACATTTAATTGGGTGTCATTTTAAATTAAAAGGTTGGTTTTCATTAGTAAATAGGACGATAGGTAAAATAGAAATAATTTTAATGATTGAATTCATGAGTTGATCTAAGTTAGACCAGTGAAGTTCAATCCGTTGTTGGGTAGAGACAGTTATCTACCCCAGACAATGGATGAATGGTTGCGCAAGATCGGTTGAAGTTAGACATTTACACCGCTGATTCCCAACTCATTAGTCTAGAGGTTAAGCGTTCGTGCATGAGACCGAAGGTCCCGTGTTCAGGGTCGTGGATTCGAACTTCTGAGAAGTTCCATACTAAAACGAAATGGATGTCTAGTTCTTTCAGGTTTCCAATAATGGTCGGGCTTAAATCGACTCATGAATTCAATTATAACAATTACATCAATCCCCATGATCCCTCATTCTGAAAATTGAATTACTATGATTCAAAATAACACATTTTATTTCGGTAATCGTATTCAAACGTTTAACAGATGAATCTTTATGTTGATCGCTATTCGGTTTGCCATCAATTATATCACTTAAATTTATTTTCTCTATGTGAAATAAAACAGACCATAGTGAATAGCTATCATTATTTTGCTTCATACCATTGAAAGCAACTCATCTTTTATTTACGCGGTAGATTTAATGCTTTGATGGTCTCCATCTAGTTCGCATTTATCTTCTCAACAGGAAGAATTAAAATTAGTTTATTAATTCAATAGTCAGTGAAATTTAACCCTCGAATGTGAATCCTCTAAAATATTTACAATTCATCTATCAACACAAGCAAATAACATTTCTAATAGACTTAATATGTTTGCTAAACCTCAATATATCACAGCTGCCTTATTTCTATCACTGTAACACTAACATTCACAACTTCTCAGCAGAGATACGAGAATCTGTTCAAAAACGATTCACCGATGGAAACATATACACTGTTTTGTTGGTTTGTTTCTGAATATTATTTGAATTAACCAGTAACTTATATCGCCGATTGATATACACTTGCTCATTGTTACGTTATTCGGTGCATTTATATTTAAGCGAACCAAATATTTTTGTACGTATGTTGAACGACTTTACGAAATCGATTTCTATCCTATCATTTCAAAGTCAAATATGACAGTAATTATTTTGTTTGAGATCATAATAAGATTTAAGAAGCAAAGAAACTTGTTATACTGAAAACATCATAAGGAAAGAATAAGAAAAGAATGAATGCAATCTAGTCCTAAAACTTTTCCTTTTTACGATGGCATTTTTTAGGCTGTACAATCTTATTGGTGGGTATTATAATCAGACCACCAAAAACCCACTAAAAACAGTTAAGCACTCCTAATTATTGAATATAAGAGTTTGTAAAAAATGAAGAGGTATTGTACTATTTAATAAGGTTATCAAAAACTATCAAGACATGCATATGACAGTTTGTAAACGGAAGAATGTTATTTCACTTATTAATGTAATCAAAACTATCAGCATAGGGTTATGGAGATTGTTAGGTTTAGATTGATATCATGAATGGACCAATGCTAGACCACCATTGAGAACCTAAGAGAACTAGACGGCCATTTCGTCGTAAAATGGGATTCAATAGCAGTGCACATCCATGATTTCGAACGCGGGGCTCGAGCTCAGGATTTTTGGCCTCACAAAAGAACGCTTATCATTTGCGCACTAGTGACTAGATGAGAAACCGTGACTCACTGAAAACAATGGTGAACGGTCGAGCAGTATCGTGGATGGCGCTTGAGTCATTTAACTTAGCCGTGATTAATGTTGAAAAGAAATTTAGATACAACAACGTTTTGCGATATTTGCTGATCATATCTGGGTTCACTGAAAAATATAACATAAGTCAGAAGCATTTGTAAAAGTTTATCAAATAATTTACTAGTTCGAATAATAGATCCTTATCTATATTCAATAGGCTTGTTTTATAGATTGGTTTTATAATAAAAGTATATAACCATTGTTATCGACTAGATGTCCTGAGTCGCATTTACATGGAATTGACCAAGTATACTTACTTTTGAAGAATTAACACATCTTTTAATTATAATTGGCTTATTCTTATACCTAAAACTTTGACAAAACATAGCAAACAAAAAGACCGCTAAACTTGTGTGAGGAAACTATTTTTGCAAGTGCATAATAACTTAGTTTTCAGCTGCCGTCATGATTATAAGACTGAATTTTGTGAGGAGAGTGTGAACCTTTTTCAATATAATGAATCTTATGTTCATACTATTTTTCAGTTCTGATGTAGCCTAGTAAAATCGTCTTTTAAAGGTATAAAGCATACCAGATAAAAGAAATTCAACTCTTTTGAAAACGTCATATAAGGATTTAAGCATGATTATCTTTTATCCGATCTTTATTAGCACAAATTGATTCTTCCTATTATTCTTATTTTCTATAGATCTCTTTGTAGCCCTCGGTGGAATCTTACCGGAAATAATTTGGAATATCACAATTGTATTTTATGCACCAACATTTGTTTGTAAACTAGTGAAGTATATGTCTGTAAGTGATTATATTTTATATTCACGATTTCTTCCTTTTTTGTCAGTATAGATGAGTTAAGTTAAGAATTACAAAATTTCTAGATCATTGAGGAAGTAGAACCTAAACACAAATCTGTTTTATGAGAGAATAATTTATCTAAACATTGATGTTATATATAAGAACTTTCGTCTAAATTTGAACGAGTAGTTTCACAATATTTGGGCGCCGAGTTAATGTGAGTCATTAAAGAGGAATAATATATATTTTCTGAGCGCCCTACAATTAGGACTTTTCAGACTTATTCAGACTTAAACAAAACTTTTAAATTATTTCCTACATCATATTAATATCAACCATTTCATGATGAAAACATTAGCCATAACTAACAATTTTTATCCAATTCCATTTCAAGATCTTTATAATTTAACTGCTTGTTTAGTAACTCCGAAAATTCATTTTATAATGTTCAGAAAAGTCACTGTCATTTAAAAAATTTTAAATATTGTCCATCACGAACTAAAAATTTAAGAATGGAAAACTCTCATTCTGATTCATTAGATATTTAGATTTATTTATCCAAATAAATTTAAAAGTAAGAAATCCAGAAACAACAATTCCCACACTATGACGAAATGGCCGTCCAGTGCCTCCAGGTTTCTCATGATGGTCTAGCTTTAATTGACTCATGGTCTCAACTAATAAATTACTGATGTTTACTTTTAATTGAATTATTCTATCATGATTTATAGGGAAATTTCCGAAAGGATACAACATAGACAACACATTATGTAGTGAATGAGAGCACAAGTAGGGACAATGGAATGTATTTGAATACAAAATTACAGAATATCTTAGTAAAATTTGAGAACCATACGGTAAATACTTCACTTGCAAAATGTCAGTCAATTGTCACAGACTTCATTGTTTCTGTATTTCTATGCCAATTGCTCTCTGTTACCGTTCTTTCCTCCTCGATCTTCTCGATCATCCTGACTAACGTTATGTACTACTTTTGTCGATCTGGTAGCACACACCACAGTTATATTGTAAATATATCATCTATAAAAAACAGAATCAATTATTTACTGTACATCATTCAAGTATAACCGCTTAAAAATATAATTTTGATTAAATAAAAGTCACAGAAAATGTTTGTTAGATATGAAAAGAAAAAATGGCAAATGATTTCTGTTAAGTTTGAACTATTCTAAATACTTTGTACGGAAATATATTCTCCTATATATTTCATGTGAATATTAAATCGTATTCTTTGTTAAACCTCGTTAATGCATATTATATATCAACCAAGTTATTTTATGAGAACAATGTTCTTGCATATGAAGTAGTACTGATTAGTAAACAGAATCTGGAATGGATTGTTTAGTTGTAGGACGTTATTTACATGAACCTTTGCCTCAGTAATTAATAATCACATGGACGCCCCAAGACTTAATTCATAACACTGCATATGGCAGAAGTAAATCAGAGAGTCAGGCTCCAATTTTTAGGTATTGAAAAATTTGATCCTTCCTTTATTCAAAAGCTAGAAATCTATGATTAATTGTTATTGTTAACATCACGAATATATATACCTACTTTGAATGAATCTCTTTATTGATAAGAGAAAAAATAGCTCGGATACGAGTGTAATTAAGAAGTATATGTTTCATTCGTAGAAATCAGCAGATAGACGATAATAGATAGATGCATAGCTGAAAGTTACTACCGGCCAACTCAAGTAAATAAGTTTGCGTTTCATCTTATATGATTCTCATAAACAAGCAGTGTTATAGATAAATGAATATGGACAAGCATGCAAAAATGCTCATCTGTGAAAACTCAAAATCATACACGCATATAAGTTATAACATTACGAATACGAATACAAAGATCAGACATGTTCACACAACGCTTTGCACCGATTTGTCAGATCGATTGATAATGCAACTGCCAATTCGATTTAATTTTTATTGTTCCAAGTTTATAACGAACCGTTTATCTTGACTGTAAGTACTTATAAAATCCGCAATGTATGGTTAGATTAAGACTTTAGGCTAAAATCCATTTTAAGGTCAGATGTGTTAACAATAGGAAAACCAAATAAATATGATACGAAAGAGGGGAAATATTATGTTAGATTTATTGTGATAACAGTATTGAAAAATATCACGGAATGTTTAGCAAGGAAAAACACAGGGAAGCATTCATTACCTGGGGTTTTCATGCAATAAATTTATAAGACAGACCTGATAGAGTGACCCCAAATATGATCTAATATGACCAACTTTGCAAGTAAATAAATTAATATATTTGTAATATCCCAATGAGTAGAAAAATTGAATTTTCTGATGTTTCGTGACTCAGTGTAGGCCACTTCTTCAGAGAATAAATAACCAAATCAAAATTAATTTAAACTTGGATTAAATTTGATATATATTAAATAATTTATAACAATCTACCCAATTTATTCGAATTTATCAAGTCAAACCTTGGTAATGATACTTACAACTTTGAAAGTGTTTACGTTTATATGGACTTAGTATTTTCAACTGATAATAATTACTAATTCTAAAATAACCTATCTACGTATTCGTAAATAAATTGGTTATTATAATATAATACTTGCCGATTTATAATTTGGAAACTGATGACAATGTCAATGAAAACAAATGTTTCTGTCTGACTTTTGAATATTCAATTGTTTATCTCTGAAATGTAACCGACAAATAGATTCAATATGCATGATTATTATAATTTCGAATTCACTGATAAATCATTGTTTTATTGTCAATAACTTCCAGACTACCATAACATACGGAAGCTCTTTCGCATTAATAGCGTTAAGTATTGATCGTGCAGAGGCTGTATGTAGACCGCTCCGAGCTACCTCATCGAAATTTAGTAAAAGTAAGTATTTTACATATCTGTTTTTTAAACGTAAGTAAAAGAGGGAATTGATTTACATTCATAGACAATATTTCATAAAATCTTTCAAAATAGCGAAATCCGTCATAAAAAACATTTCTCGAAACTCATTCTCGCACTGCTTTGATCGATTTGAACAAAACTACAACGCATTTTTTAACGTTCAAAATAGTTGTTATCTTTATAACTGCATTCATATTTATAACCACTTGTCTTAACTGAGAGCAGTAAACAACTGAAAAGTACTGATAAAATAAGTAATCTATCCGTAGATAACAACTTTTGCAAATTTGTGAATATAGACTATTTCAACAGCTCAATATCATCTTACGTTGATTAGAAAAATGTTTAAATCAGTTGCTCCAGAAACACTGCTGAAGATAAGTAGATGACGATTGTTATATTCCTACTAAAAAATAGACGGTGATACTCATTTTGTATCATCTTACAGTCCCTAGGTCAGTTCTTTATAGAGTCTTACATGCGTCTTGCTGAGGTATCTCAAACCAAAAAGGATCGTATCTGATGTGCTATCTTGTTTTCAACTGTTGAACAGTTGAAGTTTGTTCCTAATGTAAACTATGTTTGAGGATAATTTACATTAATCTACATAATTAAACGACTACATCTTGCTGTTCATATCTCCATATTACGTTCATGATACTTACCTCACATTTTATAAACAGATTTTTAAGCAGGCAATATTATTCTATGAGACATTATTTTCTCTGAATAGGAATGCTGACCTTGTGGCTTCTGGTAAATACTTCAAAAAATAGCGTAGTTATTTAGACTGGAATAATTTGAGGGTCACCGTTACACGATATTTAAGCATTCTGAAAAGTTTTTAAATCATAGGTAAGTTTATTATTACTTCTTAAGTTACGATACTAATCATGCTGTGATGTTGTAAAACCATATCTTAAATAGATAAAGAAAACCGAAAGCTTTTAGCCATCAGATAGGTAGTTCTTTCTAGGATCATTATGGTTTTCTGTATCAGCAAAATTCAAACTCTTTACCAGCTGCGTTTTTATTTCTCTATTGTTATTTTGAAGAAACACATGCCCTCATGTTAATCGGATCTGCGTGGTTAGCAGCAGTGGTATGCGGTATACCTACAGCGTTACTAGCTCAAAAAGTTTATGAAGGGACACAGTATGAAAACTGTCGATTCGACTTTAGCAGGATTAGTCCACAAGTAAGTTTACACATAGGTTAAGCAGATGTCAGTTGGGGCATCATAAGTTTTGTATATGTATTAAATGAAATTTTCTCGAATGCTTTTTAAAACCTGGTTCAATATGCAAAAACTGTTTAATAGTAAATCTGATGATCAGAATGTAATCCGTTATTATTTGTAAATTCACGAAATAACTGGAATTATTTAACTCTAAAATGTTGATATGATGACTGAAAATCAAGCTTCATATTCAAGCCTTAATTTAATTAGTTTTTGAGTCACTTGAGAAACGTTCACTTCTTAAATGCTTATGTTTTAAAAGACTTCTACATTTACTGATTTTTTTTGTTAAGTATTTGAATATAATGCTGTTATTTTACTAAATGTGTCTTGATTTGCTGAACAGTTTATTGAATGACTTTCAGTGATGATTATACGGGTGTAATATTATATAATTTCACTGTGTATATCGATTAGTAGTTTTATTCATCTTTTTAACTATTAAAACGTACATCGTTGTCAGAATTCAACTGATTTTATGAAGTCAGTTATATGTAAAATTATGAGATGGTGTAGAAGATTTTTACTTCATGTGGATGATTTTGATCTCCCAATAGGAGATACTACCAAAACAAACAAGTAAACAATGACAAGTTTAAGGTCAACAAGAACCAATCAAAATCGAGGTCTACAGGACAACCCGTGACCCACATATAAAGAAATTCGAACGCCTCACTTCTATCTGAAGTTTGTGCTGATGATGTCGTTCAGAAGAACGAGGAAAGCTCCACAACCAAACTATCCAGCTCAGAGAACGAAACTCCATCAAAATATGTAAAATTAAGAATAATCATATTTAATATTATTAGTCCACATAAATCATCATTTATTGTCTGAATTATATAGGATTCATACAGAGTTTGGAGACGGTAAATACACAGGTTGTTAGAACATATGTCCGAACTGCATAAAATATTGTTGATGTGAATGTAAACATAAATTTTTATCTCCTTCTGTTTGTTTAATTTCGGGAAAAAAAGACATAATTATATCATAATTCAGTTAACCCATGTGTGCAAACTAAAGATAAACGTTGTACTATATTAAGGATTTACGTAGACTATTAAGTAGTTTTCAAGATCATTTATTTATTTTAAAAATTATTAGCAGCACACCACACACTTAAAACCAGTTACAGAATACCTATAAAATAAGGAAGTTTTCGAAAAAGATCTCAATGAAAATTACTTTGTATAAATTTTAATGTAATTCATTCTTCTAATGGAAGAAATCCATCTATTAAAACAGGAATAATAAGTTAAAACTGATTAAATATAACCGATAAGTAATTGTTTAAAGACTAACAAACCAAGTATCAAAATGTAACGTAAGATGTCAAACAATTGAATATTTACTTCGATACAAAAGTAAAACAGTCATGCTTGACTGAACGTCAGAGTACACTTTGAGGTAGTTTCTAAAATTATTCATAACTAACTAATAACCTATCAGAGGAAGCTCTTGAGGTTTATAGAGTTTTCTAAATATTTACTTAAATCCGTATAGTGTTATAGATTTATAACTTGAACCCCCGAAAGTTTTCTGGTCTTTAATGGCATTAACTAGTAATAATCTGGTCTTTTGAATAGAGATTTATAGATACATACTGTTAGTCGATTTTTATTAATCTCATAATAATGTGGTTTGTGTCACAAAATCGTGGTCATATGGTTTGTACATGTTATCTACGTTTTAGTTTAGATCACAAAAGTAAGGAGCTGACCACTAGCTTGATCATTTATTTCGTATAATTAGTAAAGTGTAAAGTTCTGAATCGAAAAACAATTCATTTCTTCGAAATAGAAATGAAATTAATATTTTACATTAAATCTTTCGGATGATAATTCCTGTTTACTTTGCAGACAAACATAGGTTCTTATACCACGTTCAAGCGCTGTCCCCAGATACACCTCTTAGTAGTCACGCATTTGGTGTATATAATATTATATAAGGCTGTCTTAAAAATATTTAGAAGAGTTATGAGATGAAAAATTAGCTAATTATGAATCCCTTGACTGCTCGTTCGGATTGCTGTTACCATGTCTGTAAAAGCTGTTTACAATTAAACCGAAACTAGGTGGCTTTCAAAAAGTGCGCTTCACTGATATGATTAGTCAGTTATTGATTATGTATATCAAACAATAGTCATATCCTGGTATTCATAAGCCACTTAAGATGATTAACAAATCTATAAAATTAAATTTTTTTCACAAACGTGATGATATCTGAATGTTAATATTTCAAAATAGACCATTCACAAGTTTTATTTTCATCCTAACAGCTTATTTCTGAACCGAATTATTTTGAAGTCATTTTTTTCATCAAAACAATGTCGGTTGTTTTCTTTTTAATTTTAGGCCTATCTAACCTCTATAGCAATGTCAGTTTTTGTCATACCAGCATTTATTATAGCCACCTGTCATATTATCATCGTAATTAAAATTTGGAGTGCATCCAAATCTCGAAAATTCAGAATAAATGATCTACCAGATTTGCGTCAAAAGCGATCTCAGGAAAAACATCTAAGCAATCCACTTTCTGTAACTACGATTTCTATATCAAACAAGAAGCTAAGTGAATTGTCACTCGATAAAAAGAGTCTGCGAATTGGACTATCTAGACGTATTAACCGTAAACATGTACATTCCAGTTGTATATCCCGTGCTAAAGTGAAAACAGTCAAAATGACTTGTCTGATAGTTTCAAGTAAATAATTGAATTAATTTTTTTCAGATTTATATATGATTGAATGTATTTGTAATCTAGTTCCTTTCTGAACTGGACAGACGTTGATTCAGTTAATATGAACAATGTGATCTTGACAGTTTCTTAATATAATGTTTTTATGTCTTAATGAAATTGTCTTAACCCATATAACTCTCGCTTTAAGTATGAACCTACTTCAATGTGTATTATGCATTAAATTAGACCTTAGTGCTACTGATACCTTAGTAACAAAAATTCAGTGGAAACTGTAGAACGTCACTGTACCATTTACAGCTGAATCATTCGTCAAAAATGTGGACGTAAAACCTAATAGCAAGTGTTAATAAAAATATCATAATTTTGATGTCCCGGCGAGCAGAAAAATTAGATTTTTGAATTTTCTGTCGTTTCGTGACCCGGTGTAAGCCAATTCTTCAAAGAAAATTATCAAGACAAACCTTGGTAATGACACCTAAAAGCAAATGTGATTATTTTCATTGTTTGTAAAATGTTCCAGAACATCTGTACTAATTATTTGTTGATTAAGAATCTATATATTAATAAATACGAAAATATGGGAAGCAATGAATATTAAACAGCTTTTATGGATCATAACTTATCTGGTAAAAGCTAATACATGATGTCTGTATCGCAAACTAAACATATGGTCCGTGAAATTACTGTAAATCTAAGTAAATTCACCAGACAAGTCGGAAGAGTCGATGTACATAAAAAAATAAGTGAACTTGTCTTAATTTTTAAAATAAATTTGAGGAATATCAAACAAAGCAATAGCCAAAAGACAAGGTCGAGATTACAAATTCCTGAAATGTATTGAGATTTACTTCCTTTGTAATCACATTAACTTTGGAAACATCCAAGTTAGATTTAATCGTTAACTTATATTGCTTCATAACCATAATTTGTGATTAATGGATAGAAATGTATTTTAAAACGAAACAATAATTTTACTTATATTTTATCACTTAGCTTATGTGATTTGTTGGTGTCCATTTATGGTATGGAACTTAATGGTTACTTATGGATATATGAGACGATATGCTCCATATTTGATGAAATATTCCCCGATTATTCAAGTTAGTTTTAAAAATACATCTTCCTGTATAGCATATTTCACTTTCTTGGATTTGAAAAACATTGTCTTAAAAATGATTTCATTATCTGTGAATATGACTATTCATACATTTCTCACTTCTGTAGTTAAGTTTATCTTTTAGAAAATGTAGTTGCACGTCTTTGGTTTAGATAATTAAGTGTCGTCTTGTCACGGACGAACTGTGAATACGTGACTACTTTTATGGCACAACTTGAAAAATAAAATCACTTAACCAATTTATAAATGTTTTCAGGACCAATTCCAAACATTTAACTACTTAAAACTGGGACTAACTATTCAATTTCTCCTTACTTATTAGTTAATTAATAAACTGAAGTAAAGTACTACTTATATGCATTCAGTTTTTCTTACATCTTAATTTCAAGAGAGTATTAGCATTAAAGATCATAGATAAAATGAATCACGAGGTATTGAGTTTACATATAACAACTGTAAAATATCATCTTGCATGCTCTCGTTTGTTAGATATGATAAAATACTGTAGGTGAAGATTTGTGTAATTCATGAATACTGAATTTATATAACTATTTCTATTATGAGGATTTGACAGATGAATTAACATGCATGTTTCATTTTTTACAAATTATTACACTACTCACTGTCGTCCACTTTTATTTAGACATTTGATCGTATTTTCTCTATAACTTTATACTACTCCTTTTAACTTGTTAAGCATTTGGTACCACTGAATTCAACAGTAAATCCTGCGATATTTTGGATATTCAATGCAGAAAACTTTATTCGGAGACGAAGAAGAACAACTGGAATAGTGTAAGAAAATTTTTAACAAACTGTTGCTCATAAGACAATTCAACTTGTTTAAATAATAATAATAATGTCCACCCAATACCGATTAATTAGTATCGTACTTTATAATAGCAAGCACAGAGAAACCTAATTAAAAAGATAATGTTGAAGTTCTTAACTTTTTATTATATTTTTTTTCAAGTGTGACAGATGCAACGAAATTTTGAATTAACCTACGGTAATTCATGTTAGTCTCCTAATTCCTACAATATGTACCAAAAATATAGGTCAAAAAGTTGTTTCAAACGGTAAGTCATTTGTTTCATGTTTTTCTTCTAATAAAAAATGCTTTAGAGACTGATTAAAATCATAGGAGTTAGAAAACTATCCATTTTCTAAGTTTATATATATATATGATTTCGCTCTGATCCAGTATCCTGTCTTCACTGTAACATTAAGCCATCTATGCATAAATGCTAGTATATCCTCCCAAATTAGTGTCACCGTATACATTTGTTCGAAAACTTTAAATGTTTTCGTAAATAATGAGATCTAAGGGGGGATTTATATTTATCGTTTTCAAGTACTTTGCTTATTGTATCTAATGCTTAGGTTTCATAACTAAATGTCTCCGTATAGCTGAGGAAAGAAAACAGTGCCTACTGAACATAAATATCATACTGGAAAAAGGTATACTAATCCGGAAGTCTTAAATACCTTATTTCATTTGTCTCAATGCCATAACGGGACGTTGATTAAACTATTATGGAAAATATGAAAATTTCTAAAAAAAAGTAGACTGGTATCATCTTTCATCAAGATAAGTTAATAATTGTACATACAATGATCGCTGGGAACTCGAACGTGTCAGTGATTTTCATTCATTGTCATATTCAAATAATTAACCTATCTTGATGGGATTTTAGCTTCCACTGAAGATATCTGATACTTTGAATATGATTTGTTGTCTGTTGATGACAGTTGACAGCTTTTTATTAAATTTTTATAATAGATAAGAACCATCAAAACTTTTAATGTCACTCAATATTTCGATGGATAAACGAATAGAAACATTAAAAAAACAAGTATAGTTGTAATATTTCATTGAGTAAAAAATTCAATTTCTTGCGTTTAATAGCTTAATATTTCAAAGGATATGTTTATCTAATTATAGATTTCGCTGACTGATAGGAATTTATATTCCAAAGTCTTAAATGCATAAGTGGTGTAAAGCTTAGGTTTACATTCTTATAGTGACAGCTAATGTCGAGGAGAATGACTAGCATCTGAGTGTTTTCTTACGTTGTAGAATTCAATAATCTGTCCGACATTGTAGGAATTGATTGGTAAGTGTGGAGTAATTCTTTGTCTGTTAGGAATATTATGGTTTAACACGTATCCACTCACCTTGAAAATTACAATATGAACCATGAACAAATTAGTTATGATGTTGGGATCATAGTGATTAAATAAGGAAAAGGCTGATTTAGTCACTTTCCAAACTTAAGAATAAATTACATAACTGTTGATTGTATGAAGGACTTTTACTTTTTTAGAGTTTTAATGAAACAATGCTATGTGATTGATTCTTTGTTTTCTACACAGATAAGGTTTCCTTACCTACTCTCCTCAGTCGGGAGTAAAACTTGTGTTTATTTATCGGTTGCAAACTCCATTTCACAAACTCAGTCAACGATTTTATTACATTTCTATCTCGTAATGAATTTAATTAATTTTAAGCCCGTTCAGAATTTGCGGTATGTTAATACTGAAGTTTTACTCAAACATATGAACGTGACATGTTCACTAAAATTGTACAAACAACAAAGGTGAAATAAAACACATTTACATATGGATATAGAAATAATGCTAACAACCTTCCTGTATTCTGTAACATAAAGAGAAATAATAAAATTATCAAGATATTACTTAAAATAACTATAGAAACTAATCTTTCATACTGAAAGCTTGAAATTAAAATTTTCTTTCATTTTTTCCATTTAAAATCATAGTCAAAATGAATTTCCAAGTCGTAAGTACTTACCGAAGATTCATTATTTACTCTGACATATCATAAAAGATACAGTAAATAAACATTATTGTGTCAGTCAACAAAAGAATTTGTCTTAAACTTATTAGTTCATTATGAATAGTAATCCATTTTGTATTGCCTCAACGAACATTCCATAAGTTTTCATCGGATATAAAATTGCTCACAATATATTTAGGTATTTTTTAACACTTATATGGCAGGCATAGTAACAATTATTGATTGCAATACAGTCGTTTTCTTTCTTAATGCTTTTGATAATTCTGTAATACAAACCAATCAATAACAGTTTATTAAATAATATATGATTTATTTATTTTTGTTTTTTATTAGTTCACGTTCGAATCAAACGTTCATAACGGGAAAATATCTTGCAGTGAAATGTTAACAAGGCATATCTCTTTATGATTTAAGAAAAATCAAATTATTTTGCTTTCTTTTTTAGATTTAATGAAATTGTATTTATTTGTAAATTGTCTGAAGTTAGAGAAGGTTTGTTGTTAGTTGTGTAGACAAACGTTTTTTTTTAAACAAAATATCGAACATTTCCACTTTTGAAAATAATAATGAGTTAGCCATGATGCGAGCTGATATTGTGAATAAATATAGCAGTAATAAAAAGTTACTGTTTTATCGGTTGAATAAATTGAAGCGTGTTTTTATCAGATTGTACTAAGATAAAACTACCAATTTTAATTGTCATATAAACAAACTAGTTACACAGATCAAACATTCGAATGTCTCATATTCTTGCTTCTAGGAGTTTAGTACAGATCTACAGTACGTGCGTAACAAGGTACGATTGAGCTACTCCCATATGATCTATACTGTTGGTTAAATCAATAATGGCAACTGGTACACAACACTGTAACACTTGGCCACTAACACAGAACTAAGACAAATTGTAAGAAAACTTGTTATTGATAGTAGCGTACTGAAGACAAAATCAAATGACACAACTCTATTGGTAACGCAACGAAAACATAACCTTCAAGCTCTCAGAAATTTAGTAAACTAAAAGCAATACCAAACAATTATCAAAAAGTTAAGTTCATTTGCGAAATTAGGAAAACAGTACTTAAGATTAACATTTCTGCTAAGATTTTAGCACTGTAAGCAAATTTTGTGTAACCTAATTGCTTTCGCAGAATCGCAGGGTAATCTACCCTATGAAGTTTAACGATTAATAAAAAAAATGTCACAGTTAATCAGATCAAAACTTGAACTTTCATGTTGCGTGATAAAAGTTTTATAAACGAAGATTATTGAATGATAGTAAGATTTGAGTTTTCAACAATAAAATACACTTGACAATATTACGCGATTAGTGTTAATTACCGGATTTCCTATACATTAATTTAAAGAATAAGTCAAGCAAATTATAAAATAATGCATGCACTGTAAGTGTAAAATTTGTTATATTTAAGTAAAATAAACTCAGTAATTATAAGAAAACAATGTTTTCAAAAGCCTTTTTTATTGTAATTAATTCTGTCATAAAATTCTAACTAATTTTTGACAATATTCGGAAAACAACACTATAAGGTGGTATTCTTTTATTTCACACGTTTCATCTTGATTAAACTGAAAGATACCTGTTTATTCATCCTTTAGTATCCTTATCAAATATCTAAGTGGAAAACTTATCTTTGGGGACAGAAGTCTATGACATAAATGAAAAAAATTCACAAATATAATTCACACAAATGTTTAACTCGAAAATTTAATCAAACAAACCTAAGATAAAGTCCAATCACTGACCAGGAATTTTAATGTTTTAAATCTACACTTCTCGATAGCTGCAACCAATATATGAGCACAAAGTAACAGGTAAGGGTTTTCTAACAAAAAAAAACAAAACACATCCAGACAAAGATTAGGGTTTAGTGCTGTTAGACTGTAAGATCTATGTCAACAAAATGTAAAACTTGTCAGACAACACCAAATTCTTCAAACAAATCAATGAAAGGATCAAAAAGCAACTGAATGTAGTTCTTAAGAGAGCGAAAAGTGATCATGTAACTAAAGAAGATATTTACGAACGTATAAAACGAACAAGGTCACTAGTATCTACGGCTATATGGTTTGCCTAAAATGCACAAACTTGGCCAATGCTTGATATGTTCGGATCGCATTATCATTCTTTAGCAAAGTGGCTGGCAGATCTCTTTGAACCGGTACGAAAAAGTATTTGTATAGATCCCTTACATGATACTCTTGAAATCATTAATTACATAAAAGGCGTGAATAAAAACTACGAACATATCATTTCATTTGATGTTGAATAACTATTCCCTGATTTTCCTCTCACAGAGACTATCAATTTTGTCTGAAAATACATAAATGATAATCAGATTAATATATGACTACTGGAATCTTACTAGAACGAATTATTATAACGGTGCACTTGTGGTGTACAATATATATTCGATGACGTTTAAAACAAACAGATTATTCGCTCTCTTGATGTCGAAATAATGTGGAAATACGACGAAACTCTTAGGAAATTTTTTTATATGAAACCCTTGTCAGGTTTTCACAGCTGAGTCCCCATTAGATGGAAGCAAAAGTTTTTTATATTTCTCGTTATATGGATCTGAATAATTTGTAGCTCCAATGTCAAACCTAATAAACTGAGCCTCCTTAAGAAAATACTTACCGAAACGGGTATCCATTGCGATTTGCTGATAAGGGTATAAAACTCAAACTGCTCAATGCAAAACTAACTACTGTATAAAAGAAAACCTTATATGAAGATCGATTTAGAAGGTGGAATAGCTACAGACATCCTGAAGAACAGAATTTCGACTCCCTCAATAGAATGTTTTTTGCAGCAACTTTGTGATTAATGTTCGCCAGAAGATCAATGTTCACCAATGTATTTAAAAATAAATCATCTCATTTTACCGATTCTATGTGTGTTTCTCAATTTACCTGTTTGTATGGAGCTAGGTTTATAGATTGTTTGATGCGTATTTTATCCAGCTGAAGTCAAGAACATTACTCGACTTGGTTGAAAATAGATAGGAATGGCTTACTTATATGCTCAGTAATCGTACACCTTGTGAACACCGGTCACTCAGTCAAAGCGATTTCTGCATTAAGTCATCTGCAAGGTAAGTAGAAGCTACTAAAGGCATTTATACTCTATCTTCTTAGCGTTTCCAAGGTACTATACATTTGGAAAAACGGGATTATGTATCCGAAAGAAACCTGTACAACTTCTTTTACTACGGTCTTCATTCTTCTCCCATTTCACAGCCATTTCCTCTCTTTTATCTTCTCTACAGATCTTTTACTCCACAACTGACTTGTTCCTGTTTCTACGATCCTCCTGATTATTGTTCACCTCAATTTGAACGGTTCATTATATCAACGTGAGCCTTCCCTTCCCATATATAATTTTCTTATTTGCCTTGATAATGAACATTCAAGCACTCATCAACAAAATTATTATTAGTTTGCTTACCTTACTGTTATCATACTTAGCAGAATTTTATTATCACTACAACTGTAATGATTGCCATCTTGAAAAGTAAGTTTATAATTGTGATTGTACAGCTTTAAAAATAAATCCGTAGAAAAGAGAACTCTTTGCTGAAACCATCTTATTTTATAAACATTACTGATCAACAAGATTTATTTAAGAGATGCGGATGGTATAAATTACGTAATACAAATCCTTCAAACTTTTAATTGGAGCAAAAATCCCATTACAATAGTCTAGCATTCTGTCCCAAACACTAAAAACATATGAAGTACAGTTTCTTGAATGCAACCATACAGTTCAAAACATTCTAAATGAAATGCTATTAGTGCCACGGTAAACTCTTGAACATAGCACTAGTGTAGTTCAGGTAAAAAAAACTGAGTCGTTTCAGCAACAAACTTCTGAATTCATTTAGTTTTTGAACAAATTCTTCCTTCACTTTATCTACGCACTGATTTCATCTTTTTGTTTTGGATTAAATGACTGAAAGCTTTTACCTGTAAAATTTCAATTTGACAATATTTTATGGCTCTAAAATTAGGTATGTGCTCAGAAAATAACCCCAGCACTTCATGAAATGAAAAGAAAATGGTTTCAGTGGTCGGTATTTTGTTAAGCGTTCTTAGATCTATTGACAGAAAGATTAGAACTCATTCCAACATACTATGTTTAGCTATAGTAAGTCACAAACAGTAGAATTGCATAAAATGTCCTGTATTCACTAAAGTTTATTATTATTACAATGCCAGCAACCATGATATTTCTGGTTGGGTATTTTATAACCTGTACAACGAAAGGTTGAACACTTTTCAAAAACACACCTGAATAGGTTATGCGATTAATAGCCAAAAATAAATAACTTGTTGAAATATCTAGATATCAGGAACAGGTAGCCCAGATGTTCAATCAGGCTGCCATACTATCTCATTGTTTGTGTTAACATCATGTATTAAAGTTAAGAAAACAGATATAACTAACAAGCATGAGACGAAATATATGGTTTTGCGAAACATAAAACCAATTAACTAATATCAAATTATCGAACTAATTATTAACCGGCAACACTGTTAAAATATTCTATACGTTTCTGCCTAAGGCAGTTTACAAAAATAATTTATTAAATTGTGCAAACATAAAGATTAGGAGTTGACTAAAGTTAGGAACTTGAATCAAAAATGCAAATAACTAATTTAACATCAAAAAAGCATGTGAAAAATATTATTCGAGTTTTAGATTTATTTACGTGATTAAACGGTTTTATCTTTAACAAATATTGCTAGTTTTTACTGATACTCCAACTGGTCATAGCAATCAACAAAATAGCTCAATATTAATTATAAAGATATAAATTATGTCCCAAGATATCTGACTGTTTTCGTCCTCAATATCTTAAATACAGATTAAACTGGTGTTGACTGTAAATTCGACAATAAACCTTATTGATCAAAGATGGAATATTTATAGATATTGATATAAATGAAATCTATTGTAGCATTCATCCTAACTGATAGATTTGTTTACGGTTTGTAACTCAATTATACACTTTGGGTCACCTGCGTCAGTAAACATAGATATCTCTCTGAAACCTAGTAACTCACATGACAACAAATGTTTTCATATTTGTAAACATCAATAATTATATTATGAACAGTTGAGAAAAAAATGCTCAAAGTCTGTATGAACAAAGCATCAAAAATAAAACTATGAAACTTAGATCAAAACTGATATGATTATTTTCTGTCAATTTCATTTATCTAAGTAAATTTTCACAGAAATTATTAAATGCTTTATTGCTTTCACTTGCTTTTAATGACAATAATTATGCTGTTATTCATATCAGTAATGAGATGATTAAAGTTAGATAAGTTAGTGGTGGTGAATGTAGATGTTGGAAACGCATGCACACATATCTTAAAAGAGTAAAACACATAAATATTCCCTTCACTTTCAGTAAAGAAATATGCTCACTTCAATACTTTCCATATAATAAAATTTTTTGTGATGACAAAAACATTTACTATTAATTTTAAGCACCTTTATGATCAATGATTTTTCATATAATGAAAGTATGCATTTTAATTTATTAACAAAAATTAAACTAGATAGAGATAAAAAATCAAACTATCATTTCGTAAATCATTTCCAATTAATTACTAAGAATGACCCTATGCTTGAGCAGCTGGTTAGGGGATTATTCGAGGGTAAAATTCCACTCTT